AGATGACTATCCACCCTCTGTTTAAAAGTCTCCAAAGAAGGAGCCTCCACCACACTCCGAGGCAGAGAGTTCCACTACTGAACAGCTCTCAAAAAAGCACAGCAGCCCTTGATGATCCCAAACACCTTCATCTTTAAAAACCTGCCTGAAAAGAAAGGTTTTAGCCTGCCGCTGGAAGGACTCATATAATCCAGTTCGAAGCAGAAAATCTGGATTATGGCTTTGTGGAAGGGCCTGAGTACAAACTACAGTACAACCCCCATTTCTATAGGGGGATATATTCCTGAGCTTACCATGAAAAGATAAAACTGTGGGTAATAGTGAACTATTACCCACAGTTTCCTTTTTTCGTGGTAAGTTCCACTGGAAGAGACCATACTACTGTATGCTGGAAGAACTTGAATATTCTGAAAGTGGTGTTCTCTCTAAGAATTTGATAGGTTCTTCAGGACAACTCTGTGTTATATTCTTACAAAAGCACACCATAGAATTGTTTAGAGCAGGCATAGGCAAACTTCAGCCTTCCAGCAGCTGAGGGGGAAAAGAAAAGGACCTGAAGCTGTTAGGAATTGTGGGAGTTGAAGTCCAAAATACCTGGAGGACTGGAGTTTGCCCATGCCTGATCTAGAGCATTTAGAGAGGACATATTTGCCAGATATAGGTAGGTAAAACGTTGGATAATAAGGTGGTTGTACTGTACTTTTCCACTTTGAACTTAGGCCCCTTCTACACTGCCATATAATCCACATTATCAAAGCAGATAATGCACATTATCTACTTTGAACTGATTATCTGAGTCTACACTGCCATATAATCCAGTTCAAAGCAGATAATCTGTATTTTATATGGCACTGTAGAAGGGGCCTAAGACATTTTGAAAGCAGATGAAAAAGTGGGATGGCAAATGATTAACTGGGACTATGTGAAATCAGGACTGTTGGAGGGTGGGACAGTACCCAGAAGGTATATAGCAATATGCCTTATATCTCTTACAACTATCTGAGACATACGGATTGCCAATAGAGAAGGTGTTTTAAAGAGAATGGCAATTTCTCCTAGAAAAACAAACAGTACAGAGAGACCTAAAATGAATGTGGCTTCCACATCTATTTGAACTGTGTGCCTGGTTGCTGGGAAATCTTCAGGTGTTGTATTTTCTTTCCTTCATTTTTACCCGTCTGCTTTGTCTTTTTGAACTCTGAATTACAATGATGAGGATGGCAAAACCGTAAAGTAAATATTTACCCAACTGCTGCAAATAGCCCGTTCATTTTACACTACTTAAGATTTGGCTGTTTGTTTTTCCATCGCTTTTAACAATCTGAACTCCCCCAACCCCCAGAAGAAAATCAGAATGCTTGGAGCACCCGGTGGCACAGTGGGTTAAACCACTGAGCTGCTGAACTTGCTTGGTTCGAATCCTGGGAGCAGCGTGAGCTCCTGCTGTTAGCCCCAGCTTCTGCCAACCTAGTAGTTTGAAAACATGCAAATGTGAGTAGAGCAATAAGTACTGCTCTGGTGGGAAGGTAACAATGCTCCATTATTATTATTATTTAAAACATTTATATTCTGCCCTTCTCACCCCGAAGGGGACTCAGGGTGGAGCACAGCATATACACAGTAAACATTCAATGCCGGGACACACATTCACATACAATACATAAACATTGAAAAACATTTATCAAAATATTAAAATACACCATTTACAACCATCCTAGCCTTCCGCATCAAATCTAATTGGCCCTGTCATCTTTCCCACTGCTGCTTCATTGCCCTGTCCCGAAAGCTTGGTCCCACAGCCAAGTTTTTACCATCCTTCTAAAGAACAGGAGGGAGGGGGGCAACCTGATCTCACCAGGAAGGGAGTTCCATAGCTGGGGAGCAATCACTGAGAAGGCCCTGTCTCTCATCCCCACCAATCGTGCCTGTGACAATGGCGGGATGGAAAGCAGGGCCTCCCCAGAGGATCTTAATCTCCGTGATGGTTCATAGGGGGAGATGCGTTTGAACAGGTAATTTGGGCCGGGACCATTTAGGTCATGTGGCCATGTAGTCATGCTGGCCACATGACCTTGGAGGTGTCTACGGACAATGCCCGTTCTTCGGCTTAGAAATGGAGATGAGCACCAATCCCCAGAGTCAGACATGACTGGACTTAATGTCAAGGGAAAACCTTTACCTTTTACTAGAGTAATGCCGTACCAGGCATGTAGCCCAGGGGGGGGGGGGCTTCAGCCCCCCCCCAAATTCTCATGGTGGTTCGCGAAAAGGCCTTACTGGTGCATTATTTAAACTGTTATGTTTATTCATATCATGATCTGATCACCATACTCAATATATCCCATATGCATGGGGGTATTGGGGTAATGATACAAAAGGTTTGCTAGGCTAGACCCTCTTTCACTCAGACTCAGTCCCCCCCCCCCGAAACTCTGCCCCCCCAAAACCCCCCCTGAAAAAATTCACACACCCCCCCCCCAACGAAATCCTGGCTACGGGCCTGTGCTGTACTAAACTGTTCCCAAAAGAAAATCCCAAAGGTTTTCTTTGGGGAACCAACTGGTATTACATGGTCCACATTCTCAGATGAAATGAGCCATCCTGCAGAAATCTTAAGCCAAACCAAACTTATTAATTTTAAAGGTGTCACGAGCCTCTTTGTTTTCTTTCCTATTGCTCCCTCTGAAAAGACACAAACGCTACCCCAAAATAGCAGAAGTGTGAAATATCTCCTGAATGTTGGAACAGGGCAAAAACACCATCCAACTTTTCCAACTCTTTTTTTTTTTAGTAGCTGTAAATGAAATAAGGTCTCTCTTTAGCCATAACTTATCAACTAAAGATCATCTTTGTCTTTCTCTGCTGCCAGAATGTGTGCGTTCTTTTTAACAAGCTTCCATTCCCCAAAGAAAGAGAATTGCATCTTGGAGATATTTGTTAGCAACACAATTACAGGCCTAATCCCTCTGCTGATTTCTAGATAGGGCCATAAAACTGAAAAGAAACAGAAGAAAATATATTGTAGCCGCATTGCAAAATCAAAAGGAGATCAACCAAGGTTTGTTTGTATTAGTAAGGTTGGAGTTGGTGATGAAAAACAGCTATAATTTAGCCATATCATTAAAATATGGATTTTCCTTTAATTAATAAGGTTTAAAACGTGTCCGGTTGCGTCTTCGTGTGAGAGGAGGATTTGTAAAAAGTCTGTATTCAATCAACAGCAGGAAGAGGATGGTAGGCCCAGGCAAAAGCAAACTGGTTTCCAAGCTTCTCTTTTCTTTAATAACTTTTGCCATCTTGACCACACTCTGATGTTCCTTGGCCAAATACACCCCAGTGTTCACCTGTGAAATGTTGGATTAAAGTGACCATTTATGTTATTATGCAACACAGGTTACTAACTGAAGCTAACTATAGAGAGCACACCCTATTGAAGCAGCTCCACTGGCTGCCAGTAAATTTCCAGGCCCAATTCAAAGTGTTGGTTATCACCTATAAAGCCCTACACAGTGTGGTTCCAGCCTAACTTAGTGATTGAGTCTCCCCCCCATGAACCAGTGCAGGCTCTAAGATCTGCTGGGGAGGCTCTCCTCTCGGTCCTGTCTCCATCTCAAGTGTAGTTGGTGGGAACAAAGGAGAGGCCCTTCTCGGTGGTGGCCCCCTGGCTCAGGAACGCCCTTCCTAGGGAACTTAGGCAAACTTCTACACTACAGCACTTTTGGAATGAGCTAAAAACTTGGCTCTTTCTCTATAAGCTTTTGATAATACTTAAGATTGCAGCCAGACCATTATCTTTAGCCAGGGAAGGCTACATGGATTGTATGGATCTTTTAATTAATGACTATCACTATAGGACCGGGCTGTGGCGCGGCTAGTTAGCAGCCAGTTGTATTAAATCACTACTGACTGAGAGGTCATGCGTTCAAAGCCAGCCCGGGTCAGAGTAAGCTCCCGACCATTAATAGTCTAGCTTGCTGTTGAGCTATGCCACTCAAAAGACAGTTAGATCTGTCAAGTAGGAAACTGAGGTACCGCTTTATTTGGGGAGGCTAATTTCACTAATTTATGACACCATAAAATCTTCCAGCAGTGTGCGTAAGAATGAGGAAGTACTCCCTCAAGAACTCAGTGTCACAAGTAGACAGTGAAACAACAGCTCCCCCTGTGGCTGGAATTGAACATATCCTCTTGAAGCTGGAAAGCTGGAATGTTAAATTGCTTCTGTGCCTGTCTATATACATTGTATGTCTATGGCATCGAATATTTGCCATGTATATGTGCATTGTGATGCGCCCTGAGTCCCTTGCAGGGTGAGAAGGGTGGAATATAAATACTGTAAATAAATAAATAAATAAATAAATAAATAAATTTTTTATTGATTTTATTGATTTTTATTGATTTTATTGATTTTATTGCTCTTATTAATGTTATATGGTTGGTTTTAAATGTGTTACTGGTTTTAATGTTGTTATATTGTAATTTATATGTTGTATGGCATCATTATGTGTTTGTAAGCTGCTTCAAGTCCCTATGGGAGATGGTGGTGGGGTATAAATAAATATTATGATTATGATTATAATTATGATTACTCTCACCCATACAAATGCTTGAGACAATAGGTGTGTGTACAGGAGAAGATCAGTACAATGTTTGCTTAGCACTTGTGATCTTCTTAAGCTGTCCTGGAGATACTGTACAACTCAACCTCAGTTCCCCAAAGAATGTGTAGAATTAAATATATTGTGGACTAAACAGGAATAAATATGCCTTTTTGGAGAGAATATGCCTTTTCAGAGAGAAAATCCAAAACAATGAGAAAAATCTGATCAGGTTTAAATAGGCTTTGTATCCATTCAGGTCACAGAATATAAGCTATGCAACAGCTGCTAAAAGGTGAACAGTGGTTTATTTGTCCCAAAGAAACCAGGGCAACTCTACAGTATAATCACCTGTTGTGCATGAGAGAGTCTATGCCTGAGAACGTGAATCAGCAAATCTCGCACAAGAGAATTTTCCTTCGTGTTACTTGGGGAAAGACTCCCATTGTGTCACATGGGGGTTGACCAAGACCACGAAGCCTCGGAGACCTTGCAACAAACCAGATTTAATCCTTGTCTGATATAGAAATGCCCTGGCAGTTGCACTGGCATTGCCGGATCTCTTGGGAACAGCAGCAATTAATTTTAACCTTGGGAAATTGGGCAACAATTTTTATTTTTAAGAGCAGTTTTGCTTCCATGTGAGCATCCAAAGACAGAAATTGTCATCATTTGGAATAAAGATGGCAAGCAAGAAGAGTCTTGAAAGGGCTTGTTTGGTGAAAGACAGGGACACCAAGAGGTACTCCTTAACCCTGAACAGGTAATAACCCTGGGACTGTTTCATGTTGTTGCTTTATATTTGGTAGAATAATTGAACAAATATGCCTTTGTGATTACTTTTGTGAATTATTATTATTATTATTATTATTATTATTATTATTGTCTTGTTAAGTTTCTTTTTCAATCCTGGAACATTTTGGGTTTACAGAAGACAACACCTCTTGATTCCTAAAAGTCTCACTTATATAAGTAAACAAATGTATAGTTTAACATTTGTTTACTTAATTTCTAACACTATTTTAATGAATATGCAATTTTATAATTTGATTAACAAATGAAGAAATTGTTTTAAAAACAAGATTGTAATTCAGAGTCCCTGTAATTCAAAGTCCATCTGTCAGACTATACAAATCCACACAGATGCTAACAGCATGATCAGATTTGGTGTGCTATCTAATGGGAATGGAAGGAAAAGTGTAGTAACTTTCTGTGTATTGATGATTTCAACTCTTGCCACAGTGACTGGCATTGTGCAGAATATACATAAGGCCATACACACTTCATGGAACATTAGTTGTCAGTCTTTGAGGTCAAACTCATTTAATAAGTTCATTTTCCAAAAGCAAATGTGATCATACACACACCCCTTGCAATGTTGCAATTCACAATGAACATTTTGAAAATAACCTGAGGATACTGGTGAAGTAGACTTTTCAAAACCAAAGGGTCAGGTGGACTGAACAGAATGTAAAAAAAAATATTACTAGTTGCTTTGAATCTGTATCCTAATTTGCAGAAGGCATTAGTTCTATCAACACTGTGATTGTGACACAATCAGAAACCTCCCTGGGGGTTATGTAAAGCTAGTGTGTTACATTGCCATTTCCATCAAGTCTTTGTGCCTTTCCATAATAAAACTCTGACTTGATTATATGAGCAGGCTTTCTCCATTATAGGGAAGAGTCAGGCCTGCAGAGCGAGTGATTTAGAAGGTTGCTTGAAGTTTCTCCACAACTACTTCTGATTGGCTCTAGTAAATCATTGAAGTTCTGGACACAACACAGACAGATACAGGGAAGGGTTTTGCATTATCAAGTCCTCAGGCACTATCTGTAGTTGATCCTAAACTACCCTAAATACCATAAATAACACTTGGCTCTATTTCACCCTATTATTAGGGTCAGGTGGAGCTATGTAGGTGCCTGCATGTTGTAATTGATTGGTTAAGGATCAATAAACTGAAGCAAAATTGTTGGGTTTCATCCCTGACTGCATAAGTCTCCAGCTTTCAATGAGTAGTTAGCCTAGCTAGAATAGAGTGAGGGATTCCTTCCCCAAATTCCTATGCATGCCTATCTCAGAAAGGGCTTTGAAGGGCTTTGTCTTACTCTTCCTGCTATCTCTACTGTCTCCTCTCTCTTTGAATACTTAGCAATGTGATATCTGTGAGGGATGAAGTAACTTCCTCTTTAAAGGTATTTCCATTGCCCTGGCTTTTATTGCCTTTGCGAGGCCATGTGGTCATTCTCCATTTTTGGCCTGTCTCTTCCTTTGTCTTCCTTGAGTAAGGATGCATTTTGCCTTTCTCTGGGCAAGATGTATCTGCATGGATATTTCTTAATTATATCCTCTCCTACTTTTCTTAGAAAATAGCTTAGTAAGCTAGTTAACTCCAAGAACCTTTTCTATCCAGAATTGATTTCTTTTTTTACTTTAATAGACATATTTTTATAGACATATATTTTTAGAACCTATGAAGTTGTGGCTCCTACAAACCTGTTCCATCCTGTTGAATGGAGACTAATCCTCGCTCAGTTCACATAAGCTTCTGCTGATTATGAACTGTGCTTCTGACACTCTGCTATATTTTTGTGGAATCACCCCAGGTGTGGGTTATTTTGAGCCTAACAACTCCTGAGTCCCATCAAAAAAATTAGAACTTATGTGGATTGGTAGTTCATGGGTCTGGGAATTGGAGAAAGAGCTTGTCCTGGATGGGATAGCACTTCTCCTGAAGAAGCAGGTGCACGGTTTTGGAATATTCTCAGATTTTAAAAAAATATAATGTGTTTAAGAAAAAAGTGTTAGTTTTTGAACCAAGATGTTGACAAGCTGGGATGTGTCCAGAGGAGGGCGACTAAAATGATCAAGGGTCTGGAGAACAAGTCCTATGAGGAGTGGCTTAAAGAGCTGGGCATGTTTAGCCTGCAGAAGAGAAGTGTGAGAGGAGACATGATAGCCATGTATGTGAGAGGAAGTCATAGGGAGGAGGGAGCAAGTTTGTTTTCTGCTTCCTTGGAGACTAGGACACGGAACAATGGCTTCAAACTACAAGAAAAGAGATTCCACCTAAACATTAGGAAGAACTTCCTGACTGTGAGAGCTATTCAGCAGTGGAACTCTCTGTCTGGTGGAGGCTCCTTCTTTGGAGGCTTTTAAGCAGAGACTGGATGGCGATCTGAATGCAATTTTCCTGCTTCTTGGTGGGAGGTTGGACTGGATGACTCATGAGGTCTCTTCCAACTCTATGATTTTATGATTCTGTGATTTGCAAAACAAAAACAACAACAACAACAAAACAACTCAGCTTTGGTTTTATTTAACTGATGGAGGGATGCATCCATAGAGTGCAACATGAAATATTTCATGACCAGAATGAATGTCACCTAAGGCAACAAAACAAACTGAAAGTAAGTAAAAAAGAGTCAGCACAAGAAATCATTGATCTGTATGTGCATACACAAAATCACATTTATCATCAAATTTATAGATATCATCATTTTCTGTGCTTATCATAGTCACATCAAAAGCATCCTGACACACACTCGTCCATGTCTCTGTTCAGATTGATATATTTAATGTACTTCCATTTGAGTTACGCTATTATATCAATGGCTCATTGACCCAGAAAAAAAGATACCTGCAGTTATACCCTTAGGAAATTTATGGCAGTACATAAAGCCAAATTAATTGTATAGGGATTTTAGAGAGCATTATTGGCAAGGAATTGATTCAGGGTTCCACTGCACAGCAGTTCATAAAACTTGAGATGATAAACAGGTCATAAAATTGACAAAATAGTACTAAACAAACACCTCAGTCCTCCAAGTCTTTGGACACATCCAGAAACAGAACAGAACTGATGTAGAGGGATTTGGGAAATATCTGGATCAAGTTGATTTGCTATCTTCAGTATTCTCCTGTATTCTCCGTCCATCATCCATACCTAGTGCTTACTTCATTTTCTGTAATTTTGGTGCCAACTCAGCAGAAGACAAAATCAAACCAGAAAAAAAACCCTGACACTCTTTTCCATTTGTTATAACTCCCAACATCCTGCATTAATCTTTCTGAAATGTGGCATGATTTTTGTGAGGGTAATAAACTTGGGCTTTCTGTTCTTCTCTTGCACAAAGCAATGGTCTAATACACAGTAATTCAGAGCAAGAGAACCACCATGAAGAACCAGTAGACACTGGGATCCATGCGGTGCATCATTGTCACAGCTATTCAAAGGGCTATGAGAGGAGAAAGAGGGAGCAGCATGAAGCCAGGCTGAGGCTCTATGTGGCAACAGTAATCTGCATTATCATCATGGTTGCTGAAATCATAGGTGAGTTTTTGCATTTGTAAATATGCATTTGCATGTGTATCTTGTTTGCATATATATCCTGGAGCACAATTCAAATAAACTGTAATAGATTTATTATACAAAAGTATTCTGTCCAAGATGAGACTGGGTATAATGGGACTTTTATTCAAATACAAAGAACATGAGAGTGTCCTGATGGGCCATTATATCCACCAGTGACACAATAGATTAAAGCCTTGTGCCGGCAGGACTGAAGACTGACAGGTCGCAGGTTCAAATCTGGGGAGAGCGCAGATGAGCTCCCTCTGTCAGCTCTAGCTCCACATGCAGGGACATGAGAGAAACCTCCCACAAGGATGGTAAAACATCAAAACATCTGGGCATCTCCTGGGCAATGTCCTTGCAGACAGCCAATTTTCTCACACCAGAAGCAACTTGCAGTTTCTCAAGTTCTCCTGACTTATACATGAGTACATATCGTAAGTATTATCAGAACTTGGACAAATTCCTTTTTTTTTTTTTTTGGACCTCAGTTTCCCAGGCAGCATGGCTACTCAGAATATTTCAACTTAATTGAGTCAAAAACATTCTGACATGGAAATTTAGCCACCCTCTAAAAGTTACTTTTTAAGTTCTGGACTGACTAAACTATGCCATTTGAATCATGCCTTATGTTTCTTAACACCAAATGATCATTTGTCAAAGCTGTAGGAGCTTAACAAAATTGTATAAACAGGAGCCTTTGGTCTGACAGATTTATCACCTGTAGAATATATTTGAGCTGACGGATGATTTGTTAACTGAAGCCCCTTCTTCTTGCTTTTCTTCATAAGTCTCGGTTTCCCAGCGACAACTCCAACAGCAAATGGGAGGGCTGTTTTGCTGCTGAGGTTTAAGCTCTGATAAAGGAATCATTAATTGCTGATATAGAGACAGCAGTCTGTGGGAAATATTGCAATTAATGGACCATATTTTAATTTTGTCTTAATGAGCTTAGACAATGTTTGCTGGATGATTGACCACTGAGTGACTGACAGGTCTCCTTGCTCTGCGTACAAAGCAATAAACAGTCACCGCAAATAAAGCCCAATCGCAGACGCCATTTGGGGAGCACATCATTAGAAAGTAATGAAGAGAGCTGCTGTTCTGCAAAAAGCATTTGTCTTTCCAGTAATGAGGGAGAATGTTTTCCTTCCCATCCATTCTTAAGGGCAATTGCAATGGATACAACACAGCTGAATGCCCAATGGGAGCTGATGGATTCTGTGTCACTGGTGCAGTGAATCCATTCCAAGGTTTAAAAGAGCTATCCAGGGTGCTGAATTATTTTGGGCTTAGGATTTGCCACTTCATAGAGCACTTTCGGAGTTTAAACAAAAACTTAGAGCAAATTCATTGCCTTTGTGACATTGAAGGGGCATGGAGGCACATACCGTGCAAAGTATGCTTATTAAAAGGGATGGCATTTTTTATTTATTGGCACAGTGGGTTAAACTGCTCATCTGCTGACCGAAAGGGTGGCGGTTTGAATGCAAGGAGCCGGATAGGTTCCCACTGTTAGGCCCAGCTTCTACCAACCTAGCAGTTCGAAAACATGCAAATGGAAGTAGATCAGTTGGTACTACTTCTGCAGGAAGGCAACTGCTTTCCATGCAGTCATGCTGGCCACATGACCTAAGAGGTGTCTATAGACAACGCCGGCTCTTCAGCTTAGAAATGGAGATTAACACCACCCCCAGAGTCAGACACAACTAGACTTAATGTCAGGGAAAATCTTTACCTTTACTATATTTGTATTCTGCCTTTCTCAACACGGAGGGACTTGAGGTGGCCTTACAACAGGCAGCAATTTGATGCCAACATACATGTATAAGTACACAATTACAATTAAAACCAAAAAATTAAAACATCAATTGAAATAACATCATCCAAAACGTAATCCAGGGCCATTCAGTTTATCAACACATTAATTTGTAGTAACTTAATATAGATTCAGATGGCACCAATGGGTTATAATGCTAATTATACAATAGACTCTCAGCAAACCCAAGGCACCCATGGGGACTGGGAGAAGCCATGATAAAAAAAAATTGTTGTGTCAGGAACGACTTGAGAAACTACAAGTCGCTTCTGGTGTGAGAGAATTGGCCGTCTGCAAGGATGTTGCTCAGGGGATGCCCGGATGTTTTGATATTTTACCAGACTTCTCTCATGTCTTCACATGGGGAGCCGGAGCTGACAGAGGGAGCTCATCCGCACTCTCCCCGGGTTTGAACCTGCAACCTGATGGTCTTCAGTCCTGCCAGCACAAAGGTTTAACCCATTGTGCCTCCAGATAATATAAAAATAATATAAGAATAATAAAATAAACTCTCAGCTAACCTATGACACTTATGGGATTTGGAAGAGGTCAACAACATTTGCAAAAATTTGAATAAAGAGCTGTACTCAACCCCCAGGTAGTGCTAAAAACACTCAATCATTTTTTTTTATCAGAAATGTGTGACATCCTGCTGTCAGGGAAAAAAACACAGGTGGATTATGGGACATGGGCATTTTCCTTAACCTCATTAATTCAATCCAAATATCTGTTTTTAACTTATCACTGAAGTTTAATATGTTTTAAGTTATTTAACTATTTTATTGTTTTAAATTGTGTGAGTTGTTTTAATGCTTTTTATATGCTAATCTGAAATCTTTGGTATTATAAATATTTTAATTAATTAATAGTCTGACATGCGGTTACCAACCCTGAAGTAAGTACTAGGCATGGTTAGGTTTGTTCAGAATCTTCGTAATTCAGAATAAATTCGGAAAGATTTGCTTTTTGAAGCGATTTTGAAGCGATTTGGGAACCCGGAAGTATCCTTGCCATTTCGAAGCTTTTCCCCCCATTTCTGTTACGAAGCAGTAAGTGAGTCGGAAATGATTCAATTCAATGTTTCCCTGTTTCTCTTCCCTGGCCTCAGCTCAAGCCTGGGAAGCCGTGTTAAAGAAGCAGCCTGGGCAAATGTCCCTCCTTTCCTCTCCCCTGGAAAGCCGCGTTAAAGAAGCAGCCTGGGCAAATGTCCCCCCTTCCTTTCTCTTTCTCTCCATTCTCCTCTCCTTCTTCCTACTCTTTTCCTCCTCTTCCTCTGCTTAAGTGCCTGAGGGGGAAAATGAAAGGGCCTGAGGATGTTAGGAATGGTAGGAGTTGAAGTCCAAAACACCTGGAAGGAATACTTGATCTGCTCTCAGGCCCCATATACATTGTCATGTAATGCATCTTGAAACTGCATTATGTATATACTCACTGATGTAGACTTCTATCATGCAGATTAGCTGCCTTCTATGAGTCTCCATAATGCATAATGCAGTAGGTCCGCAGTTTGAATCCATTTAGAAGTTTGAATCAGGTTTTGCAGTTTGAGGTGCCGGTGGGAGGGTAATGGCGCTCCATACAGTCATGCTGGTGACGTGACCTTGGAGGTGTCTATGGACAACGTGTCTCTTTGGCTTAGTAATGGAGATGAGTGTCACTCCCCAGAGTAAGACAGGACTAGGCTGAATGTCAAGGGGAAGCCTTTACCTCTACTTTGATAATCTGAATTACGTGACAGGAGGGAAGAGGATCGCCTCCTCGTCCTCCTCCGCATTGACAGCCGAGGCAGGCCTGGAGTGTAAGAACCCCTCAGTCAGGAGTGGAAGAGCCCCTGAAGTTTCCCCAGTGCCAGTGTTGTTTTATTCCAACTATGCATGCGTGTCTGCCATTAACAAAGCTGTTTCAGAAGTCTCGGAAGTTTCAAAAAGTTTTGAACATTTTTTTCTATGAAAATCGGAATTGATTTCCAAATTGAACCACTACATCCGAAATGAGTTTTGAACCTTTTTTTTTCTTTTTTTGGTTCAAACAAGCCTAGTAAGTACCTAGCTCCCAGTCCTGGAATAATCTTCCACTCCATTGTGTCCCCTGTGTGATTTTGTTTTTTTAAATGATTTTCATTAATGATCATGGTTGCTTTGATCCAGGTGGCCACATTGCAGGGAGCTTGGCTGTGATCACAGATGCAGCCCACGTCTTGGTTGACCTGATGAGTTTCCTGATCAGCATCTTTTCTCTGTGGCTGTCATCAAAACCTCCCAGTAAAAGATTAACATATGGATGGCACAGAGCAGGTACCAAATGTTATGTGCTAAGGGCATGCAAAATAGAGCGAGTCCCTCATTTTGTCAATGAATGTGAGACAAGGATCAATATAGATCCTTGCTCAGCATAATTTATTATTGAGCTTTGCCAAGAAACAAGTGGGGAAATGATGCTATTGGATATGCGTGGAAGTAAAAGGCAATATGTATTTGTTCATTTGTTTGTTTATTTCTGCCTTGTGTTGGGACTCATGGAAACTTTCAAATTAAAGTGTTTATTATTATGTAACTAAACCACCCAGTAGGACAACAAGAGCCAATATAGTTTGAGCACTGGACTACATCTCTGGAGATCAGCATTCAGTTCTGCCCTTGGCCATGAAAACCTACTGGGTGACCTTGAATATGCCGCATACTCTCAGCCTGAGAAAACAAATGCCATAGGGTCACTTAGGGTCACCATAAGGTGGAGACACCTTGAAGATACACCACAGAGAACAATGTTAACTGGGAGTTAAGCAAATTCCATCAACATGGAAACGTGTACCTTTTCAACTAACATGGCTTCCCAAAAAGAGTTATAGTAAGATAAGAGATCCCTATTTATTTCCCAGAAACTCACTGTTCCCTAGGGTGGCAAAAAGGTCAAAAGTCCATGGCTGTTCCTTATTTCAATTTGGGTCCAAATAATTGAATTGTAACTGTTTTTCCTTAATGAAGCTATATGTTGCAGGGATCTCACTCTTAACAGTTGTTTGAACCACTAGAAATTCTTGGAGCTCTCTTCTCCATGATCATCATTTGGGTGGTGACTGGTGTATTGATGTATTTAGCTGTCTTGAGGCTTCTGCACCCCCATTATGAAATTGAAGCTACAGTTATGCTCATCACCTCTGGTTGTGCTGTGATAGCCAACATTATGTAAGTTATCTATCTCTATCTATCTATCTATCTATCTATCTATCTATCTATCTGTACTTAAATGCACTGTTATCAACAAAATGTGAACATAGTTCTTTCATAATAGTGTCAAAAATTTAGAAAGTTCCTTTTTAAGATGATAGAGGTCCCTTCCAAGTAGCTGTATAAAATCCACATTGAACTTGAATACATGGCAGTGTGGACTCAAATAACCCAGTTCAAAGCAGATATTGTGGATTATCTGCCTTGATATTCTGTGTTATATGACTGTGTGGAAGGGCCCAGAGGGAGTTATTTCTGGGATCCTCTAAACAGATTGGCCACTGGACACATTGGTTAACAGAAACTGCAGTAGACCAGGTTGAGCATGGTCTGGCCCTCACATTGTTGTGGAATTACTCCCAGTGGCTCCAGACAGAGAGGCAAAGGCCAAGTATAATAGGAACTAGGGGCCAAGCTTTAGCACAGCTGGTAAATCACCAAGCAGCAATAAGATCTACCAACCAAAATTTTGCTAGTTCAAAGTCCCGGGTCTATGTGAGCACCTGACTGTCAGTCCAGCTCATTGTTTACCTAATCTGTTCAAAAACAGCCTAGAGAAAGTAGGGAAAATTAGGTACCGCTAAAAAGCAGGGGAGGTATTTTACGATACCATAAAAAGAAAAAGATCAGAAAATGCCTGGTGACCAAAAGGAAGGAAGAAGTCCTGATGGCTCTTCGTCATAGAGGATGGAGTGACAGCACCACCACCACCATCACCACCACCGCATGGCTGGAGTCAAGCACAACCTCCAAGGTGCCAAAAAAGCTGATCTGCCCTGAGTCCCCTTAGGGAGATAGGGCAGAATATAAATTAAGGGCCTTGTGAACTTTTGGAGCAGATCACTAAAATCAATAGGTCTTAATTTAGGCTGGTTCTACACTGCCATATAATGCCATTAATCTCCATTGAACTGCATTATAGATAGCTTTACACTGACCATATAGTGCAGTTCCAAACTACATTATATGGCAGTGTAGATTTAGCCTTAGCTGACAGCATGACCAACTTAAAGTCCCAATGGCTTAAATGGATGTGCTTTTGAAGAAGATTTCAAGATCCATTTCAAAGTGCAGTGACTTTCTGATGACTTTTGCTGACTTATAAAAGAATCCAAAGTGGTGTACAAAATCAAAGCAAAGTTGAAAAGAATACAGAAAATTGGAACAAACAAAAATCAATCAATCAATTAATCAAGGAGAGAGAAAAAGCAAGTGTTTCTCATTGGAATAGGATTTTAAATCATCTGCTAGAGAAACCAAGGGGAAGAACATAGCTCATCTAACTAATATGATTCTTGCAGATTAAGTCTAATGCTGCACCACAAAGGGGATGGAAATCTTTACAATGTTCATCAGTCAAGTGATGGTAGATCAGACCCTGAACACACATTGGCCTCATCCAATGCCAGTGTGAGAGCCGCTTTCATCCATGCTGTTGGAGATCTGTTTCAGAGCATTAGTGTGCTAATTAGTGCACTAATAATCTTCCTTAAGGTCAGTTTTATTGAGTTTGTTCACCTTCACAGCAATTAAAGATAGAGCTATTTTCATTACTGCACAACCATTAGCTGCCTTGTGCTTTGTGCCTCTGCCTTCAGGATGCATGGCGCTATTTCGATCATGACAGCTCTCTTCATTTCTAGAAATAAAAGTCGCTGCCGAGAGAGGACAACTGATGATTTCTTTCAGCATTAATTTTGTGAGATGGATGGTGTTTCTCTCATCACTTTTCCTTAGTCTTGTTTTTTCTTTTCTCATCATAGTGGCTTAAGACTTGCCTCAACTGAGAAATGTTCAAAAGCATAGTTTAGGGCAGAGTGCTATAATATCTGGAACTGTTAGAGCAGTAGTTCTCAACTTTCCTAATGCCATGACCCCTTAATACAGTTTCTCATGTTGTGGTGACCCCCAACCATAAAATTATTTTCGTTGCTATTTCATAACTGTAATTTTGTTACTGTTATGAGTTGTAATATAACTATCTGGTATGCAGGATGCATTTTAATTCACTGGACCAAATTTGGCACAAATGCCCAATATGCCCAAATTTGAATACAGGTGGGGTTGAGGGGGGATTGATTTTGCCATTTGGGAGTTGTAGATGCTGGGATTTATATCTAACCTACAAACAAAGAGTACTCCACCAATGATGGAATTGAACCAAACTTGCACACATAACTACCATGACCAACAGAAAATGCTGGAAGGGTTTGGTGGGCATTGACCTTGAGTTTTGGAGTTGTAGTTCACCCACATCCAGAGAGCACTGTGGACTCAAACACTGATGGATCTGGACCAAACTTGGCATGAATACTCAATATGCCCAAATGTGAACACAGATAGAGTTTGGGGAAAATAGACCTTGGCATTTGGGAGTTGTAGTTGCTTGGATTTATAGTTCCCCAACAATCAAAAAGCATTCTGAATCCCACCAATGATAGAATTGGGCCAAACTTCCTACACAAAACAAAACTGCCATGACCAACAGAAAATACTTCATTTTCTGATGGTCTTTGGCAACTGCTCTGACATCCCCTTGCAACCCCCCAGGGGTCCTGACCTCCAGGTTGTGTTGGAGCTTGCTAGAGGATCTACAAGAGATTGTAAATGAAAGAAATGAAAGATTTCTTAAATTGTAGATATAATAATTTTAATGCAGGGGTTCCTTGTGGCCCTTCTGGATAAAAAGGCTGTTCAGAGCCCGGGAGTAACCAGCTGATATCAACAAAAGGTTTTTTTTGTTGATATCAAAATGTAAAGCATACAGTTTGGTGCACTGGTGCTCCATGTGACCACCCAAAAAACCAGAGCCTACAGGATCTTCTTAGCAGTGAAATATGAGTGGACTGGCACTGTTTATTATTGAAGCCCTTCAATCAGGTGTTTATTCTTTAGGTTGCTCTTTGGTCCCAACATCAGATTCCTAATTTGTCCTAAGGCTCAGCTCTGACATATTTTTAACCTGTTTGGATCACATCTGTTTTTGCTTACGACCTTAAAGTAAAATATGGTTCTCCCATATTTTCCTCCTCATAGTAAAGGTATATAGTAGGTGAGGCTGAAATGTATAATTGTCCCAAGGTCACCAGGAAGCTCCACCACATCCCCTAGCTACTCAATTTGGCAGGACAGTTCCAATTAATTCAGCTTCTCTCTCCTCCTCTGACTTCCCCACTTTGTTTTTGGCCTGCTTCTGTTGTTGCAAACTGAATTGGAGAGAGAAGAAGGCAGAGCAGAATTTGATATCTAGCAGTTCATGGTACTGACACCATTAAAAGGAAAGAGAGAAAGTGTAGGTCCCAGATTGTGGGTCCCAAATTGATTAACATTCAGGAACTCTGCAGCTCTATCTTGGTCACAAAGCATGACAACTTAGCTTGAATTATTCTATCAAATAGAGCTGATTGGAGAAAGTAGCTTATTCACTTCATATCTTCATTTTTTTTCTAGCCAGAATATAAAATGGCTGACCCAATCTGCACATTTGTATTTTCCGTACTTGTTCTTGGAACCACTTGTTCTATGTTACGAGACATTTTACTTGTGCTGATGGAAGGTAAGATGTTGGGCATATAGATGAAAGCATTGGGGGTTTTTTGCGAAACCATTTCCACTTAGTATGTATCTTATTTCTTTAGTACTACCATAATTATCCAACTTTGGCCCTTAAAGTGGGGTATGAGATGTTATGCCATATCCAGGCACAAATGCAACACTTTCCGCCCAATGATTTGGCCAATTTCATCTGTGTTTTAAAATAATTTTGTTGGATTTGTGTGTCTGGTGAGCTATGCACCTCACCAGACTTTGTTTTCTGCTGCTCCAGAAATTAGAATGAGAACCAATGAATCTAAATATTAGGAACAACATCTTTACTGTAAGCACTGTTGATCTGACTGTCTTAGAGAATGGTGGACACTCCTTCTTCAGTGGTATTTAAACAGAAAATGGACATCTTCCAGGAGTGTGTTCCTTCATGACTATAGGTTGGGCTAGATCATCTTTGCAGTCCCTTCCAACTCTAAAAATCTATAATTGTATGTTGAGAGATTTAGCAGATCAACAGGCAGCTTCAGGGGGTCATGGGACAGACTTTTGCCTACTTTGTCACCAAAGTTCATGCTATGTCACACAGCTACACACCTGATAGTTACTGCTTCTTCCATAGGGACACCAAAAGGAATGAGCTACAAAATGATAAAAGAGAGAATCCTAGCCGTGGACAAAGTAGAGTCTGTCCACAGTCTTCATATTTGGTCTTTAACAATGAACCAGCCAGTCCTATCAGCTCATATTGTCACAGGTGAGTAAATCTGGATAATTATGTGATTTCTTGTGGAGGCAGTTCATGCTGATAAAAAATACCACTCACTGTCTATTTTTAAGAAAAGAAAAAGGAAGGCAATGGCAACCCACCTCTAAAACAAATATTGTCTAGTAAAGCATTTGATAGATTTGGTTGCTGTAAATCACAAATGACTGGAAGGAATGTATCTTGAAATCCAGGTGTAACACATTCCAGGAACTGTCCCAAAAGAACTTGGGAGGGGTCTCCATCAAGAAGGTCTGGGAAGAAGATTTAGGGATGAAAATAAATGAAATGGAGTGGCTACAATTATGAAGACAAAGACATCTGAAAAATGTATCAGTACAGGTTAAAGAAAATAACTATAAGTTAATATGGAAATGGTACCTAACACCAATAAGAATAGCAAATATAAATAAAAAATATTCAAAAAATTGCTGGAGAGGATGACAAGAATCAGGAACATATATACATATGTGGTGGCAATGTAAATATCTAGGTCCTAGGATAGCTTTATTGTCATTATATAATAATAAACAACTGAAAAAGAGGATAAAATGTGATAACAAACTTATTAACAGTAGCAAGACTGCTTATAGCAAGGAATTAGAAAAGATAAATAAATATACAAATAGAAGAGTGGTATAAGGAAGTATGGAAACTGGCAATAAATTATAACCTGACATGTATATTAAAAGTTAAAAGAGGTATATGAAAACAAAGTGACTTTGATGAGGTATGGAGAAAAAATATTGAAAAAGGATTAAAAAGAAAGATGAAAAGTTAGCTCTACCAAAGAATATGAAATTTTGGACAGATGATATACAAAAGCTCGGGTTGGCGGGGGGAGGAGCACAGTGGTGAGGAATAGACAATAAGTATAAGCATAAAAATAGCAGTAGATGCCAAAAAGTGAATGTGTGGTAGATGTATTGAATTATATGCACCTGCTGTGCATGTATATAATTAAAAATAACTTGGGAGGGACCTAGTGCTCTCTTGGTCCCTAGAGAGTAGAGGGACATGATATAGTACAAGGTAGTGAAGGGCCATGTTGAATGCCCAGAGGACATTATGTGGCCTGCAGGCTGAACGTTTCTTAGAGTAGACTTTCATTCCTTCTATCTATTTTTATGGAAGTGAAGAAAGATTGAGTGCACCATCAAAAGTTAGGATGGATGCTTTAAATTAAGAAACTCTATTTAAATCAAACATTTAACCATTTCTTCTAGCGTAGATAGTAATTATACTATCACATTACCTCATGTAGCAGGAGTGGATAAAGTGTGATCATTTTGTACCTCCTCCCCCCAGGATCCTTAGGCCAAAATTGTATACATTTTTTTTTTCAAAAAAGGTTTTTGCTGAAGACTATTCCCAAATAGGGGCATGGATAGCATTTGCCTCACATTTGAATCTCTTTTTGTCTCCTATCTTCATGTTCCACATATAATATTTCTCCCCAAAAAATCCCATTTACCACAAAATGTCAGTGGCAGAACCATCCTAGCCTTTCTCAAGAGATGGTGCCAGTGCCTGGGAGCAATCATCAAGAAGACCCTTTCCTGTGTTCCCCCAAAGTATGCATATGGTGACTGTGAGATTGGGAGAAATGCTTCTTGCAAAGAGCTTAGGCATGGTTCTCAAAGCTGGGTCTTCAGTGTGTTTATGGCTTAAACACCCAGAAGTTCCAGACAGCCTGGCCAACTGCCAATAATTCTGGAAAATAAAGTCCAAAACATAAGAAGGACCGAAGTTTTGAGAACTATTGGCTTGAAAACTTATTGGTATTAGAAACAGAAATGGAGACTTCATAGCTTTTTTTTAAAAAAAATTCTTATCTCTGACAGCAGATACCACAAACAAACAACAGATTTTAAATGAAATTACTGAACTTCTGGTCAACACATATAATTTCTACATCATCACACTTCAAATTGAACCCAAAGCCGATCAGCAACCAGACTGTGTCTTCTGTCAAGATCCAAGTGATTGACACTTATATCAGATTGTATTAATTATCACCTCTAGACTGGACTAGTTTCTATTTAGCACAAATGGATGAAGAGAGCCTGCTAAGCCCAAACACTAACTGGACTGAAAATAAGGAAGCTTCAAACATGTTACAGGATACACAGTTGTATTATTTGCTGTTGTGGAGACTGCTGCATTCAAGGATATAGAGGACAGTTTGGAAAACAGGTAGACTACAGAATGTCCTATCTATTCTGTTTGTTCATTCATTAGTACAGTTTTGCAGAGGAAGAATAATCAACTTGAAAATTCACACTTAAATATGTATTTCAACATGGATATTAAAATTTGTCTTCAACCATTTTTTTTTTCATAAATACATTTTCTCTCAAAAACATACGTATCTTTTGCTGTGGTTTTGAGGAGTTGCCTGAGAACATTTAGGAAAGTAGAAGCCAACAAAAGATTAAATCCATACATTCTTCTGGGTAGTTGTGATCAAGTTGGTTTATTATCTGTGGCTGGATTGATACTGACATATAATTCAGTTTGAATCCTCATTATATGGTCATTGTAGATCCATATAATACAGTTTAACTGCATTGAACAGTCTTATATGAGTCTGCTGCACTGACCTATTTATTTATCTTATCAGGAACGAACCAAGGGTACGGTTGCATTTAAAAAACACAAAGTTTAAAAACTTGGCAATTATATTAAATGTCCTTTGACCAGTATCTGGCCACTTGGAGTGCCTCTGATGTTGTTACAAGGAGGTCCTCCATTATGCATGTGGCTGGGCTCAGACAGCATTGCAGCAGGTGGTCTGTGGTTTGATCTTCTTTGTGGCCCCATTTCTTAAGGTTGGCTCTGCATCACGTGCAGATCCAAACTACATAACTCTTTGTGCAGAAGAAGAAAGTTCTACATGTGTTACTTGCCATTTAGTTGGACAATGTGTAGCTTTAGTATTATGTGAGATCCCCAAGATTCTCGACTCTGCAGACTAAACACACTTCTGTTTCCGAGTGTCCTGCTCTATCTTAACCCATCCTGTGATGAATTCAGCATTCAATAGGTTCCTGGACTCCTTGGTATTGCTTGACATTATAAAATAAAACCCTTCCAGTTGCCATTTTGAAAATGACTGTAGATGTATTTCAGCTTATAGACATGTGTGCTCTGAGTCGGGTGGAGTCTGGGATAAAAGTGGTCACCAGATTCTGTTCCAGCCTTGCTTTAAACTGAGTTTTAAACTGATTATCTCAAAACATAATATAATAGAACCTTTATTAATAGTCTTTAATGGAAAGTGCCAGATAGAGATCTCATTTCAACTTTGAACAGAGCTGAAAGAGCTGAATATTGAAAGGTGGCAGAAGGATTACCTGTCAAATGCTCGATGGATAGGCCTTTGACTGCTCTTGCTGAATGGTTGGCAGTAGAATCTCAAATATCAAAGGACCTCCTAATATTTAAAAAAAACCTCTGAAATTATAGCAGTAAATACAGTACAATACACAGGGGAACTCCAGACAAGAAACAATTAGGGACAGTTAATCACCTCTCAACAAAGTATTCCCCCAGGCAGTAACAAGCCACACCTAAAAACTGTCAGGCCATCAAATGGTGGCCAATTGAAACATTCACACCTACTTCCAACAGACAAGACTTCTTTCTCCCACCCTGGACTTTCCACAGATATATAAACCCCATTTTCCTAGTTTGCAACAGACCTCACAACCTCTGAGGATGCCTGCCATAGATGCAGGTGAAACGTCAGGAGAGAATGCTTCTAGAACATGGCCATACAACCCGAAAAACTCAATAACCCAGTGATTCCAGCCTTTAAAGCCTTTGACAATATCTAGGAACATATTCCCCATGAAGTTGTTGTTGTTGTTGTTGTTGTTCATTCGTTCAGTCGTTTCTGACTCTTTGTGACCTCATGGACGAGCCCACACCAGAGCTCCCTGTTTATCATACTTGCCATAGAATATCTCTGTGTTCAATGTTCTTTCAATACCACATAGGAATAAAAATAGGTTTCAGGCACTCCTCTATTGTACATACATTAAAAAAAAAACTTCCTAAAGCGTGAGCAGCCAAACAGAACACTGAAGCACTTTCCTTTTCTTTTCCCATATTTTATTACCAGTTTCAACAGGTAATAAAATATTGAATGAAACATTTAAAAAGAAGTTAGCAGGCTAGTTAACTCCTGAAAATGAAGGAAACATTTCTTTAATTGCCTCTTCCCTCAAAACACATGCACACAATTTATGTAACGAGCAACTATTGTAAGACAAGAAGATAATCAATGTTGAATGGTTGTCTTAGTAAACTACATGGTAACTTGATGGCAAAAGCTAAAGCAGCCCTAAATTGGAATTGCAGATTTGCACCATCACAATAATAGTCCCAGAGGGAACACAAATGTGTCAAGTCTGTAAATGCACTGCACCACTGCTACTGTTAATATAGCCATTCACAAGAGGAGCCATGGCCAGGCATCCTGTTGCTGATTTACATGGGCACAAACCTTAGTTATGCCAGTATAAACACCTTCAGGATTACGTGCAAGGAGATGTCCAGTACAATATGACTCCCATATCTGTGGGACCAGTACTTACAGTCTCATTTATCCACACTGGACAAAATATACCCACCCTAGGCTTTTTCTAGGTCCTCCAGATGGAGTACCTCCACCAGAAAAGTATAGAGTCCTATTAGAGCAGCGTTTCTCAACCTGGGGGTCGGGACCCCTGGAGGGGTCGCGAGGYGGCATTAGAGGGGTCACCAAAGACCATCAGAAAAACACAGTATTTTCTGTTGTTCATGGGGGTTCTGTGTGCCAAGTTTGYCCCAATTCTATCGTTGGTGGAGTTCAGAATACTCTTTGTTTGTAGGTGAACTATAAATTCTAGTAACTACAACTCCCAAAGGTCAAGGTCTATTTTCCCCAAACTCCACCAGTGTTCAGATTTGGGCATATTGAGCCCAGTTTGGTCCAGATCCATCATTGTTTGCGATCCACAGTGATCTCTGGATGTAGTGAACTACAGCTCCAAAACTCAAGGGCAATGCCCACCAAACCCTTCCAGTAGTTTCTGTTAATCATGGGAGTTCTGTGTGCCGAGTTTGGTTCAATTCCATTTCTTTGATTGTAGGTGAACTATAAATCCCAGAAACTACAACTCCCAAATGACAAAATCAACCCCTCCCTTCAACCCCACCAGTATTCAAATTTGGGCGTATCAGATACTTGTGCCCAGTTTGGTCCAGTGAATGATCCTTCTCATTCAGTGAGAGTGTTAACTTTTATTTTAAAATCCTTGCTATGTTTTTTCACGCTTCTTCCTTAAATATATTTGTAAGACTTTCCCCCTTAAGGTCTGCTCTATTGGACAAATACTCCATGGCAGCTCTGAGTATTCTCTCTTCTTTTATGAATCCTTATCCAATTCAGTTGAATACAGAATTTCATTTGAAACATCTCGCCGCTAGGAAAATAGAAGTGATTGCATCTCATCAATCCCATTGGCTAGATGTTACACATCCCTGCTTTACACTTACTCTTACTTTGCTTTTTTAAAAATCATAGATTCAACATTAAACAGATCAGTTGTTGTCACAGAAAAAAAAATCCTCTGAGATGCCAAATACTTTTTTCTTTTGGTCTAATACTATGTTTCCTCCTCATCTACAGTGATCCCATCAATGAATAGTTTAAATGTCAACTAAAAGTTGACTTTTAAAAGTGTCTGAAAGTATCTGATTACTATTTTAATTAATGAGTTTAACAAATTAACCACTGAATGCTGAATGGTGAATAAACACATAGGTGAACCCCACTGAATGAATGGGTCTCCTCTGCTAGACACTAACAACAGAACCAGGATTCATTTCTCAATTATAGATTCTGCAAACTGGTTTCAAGCAAGAGGACTCTTTTGAGAACTTGGAAAGGGAGATGAACTTCAAGATTCCCCCAAACCACATTACCATTGGTATATAATTTTTCCAATCCTTGAGGTTTTGCATATAACGTATGCCAAATTGCCTGCCTTTGAACTTGCCTTCTTTTCCATGTGTCTCAGCATCTTTTAAACAAATTATACTCCTGATGTCTACAAATTAAACCGTACACGCAACAACAGCTCCCTTGTGACTAGAACCCAGTAGTATACGTTTATGCTACAATGTTTTGGTGGGGCAAAAAATAAGATTTAAATAGCACTAAACTAGATAGGGAATCTGAAAGCTGATTTCATTATATGAGATTCCCAGATTGCTCCCAAGTCATCCATAGCTATCCATAATAATTTATTCTAAAATGATTATGATGACTGTAGTCAGGTCTCTAAGCATCCCAAATGATATTATGAAGATCATTCAATTACTAAAAATCTTCTGCCTAGATGAAAGCCTGCAATTTCAGAAACTGGAAAGAAAGTCAACGGAGATATGATACCAAATGATTGCAATCCTAACTTCTTTCTGTTGTTTCCTATTACTACTACTACTGCTACTACTACTAACAACAACTACAACAACAATAACATGATTCTTATACCACCATCGGGGCGGCTTACATATGGGACAAAATACTCAAAGACACAAATACAAAACAATGAATTAAAACAAAAACACAATTAAAACAAAAACATAATCAAATATCACAATCCAGATTAAAGCACATTTCAACAAACAGCGTATCATAGGGCCGGGTATTGGATGAAGTGCAGAGAACAAAATATTGTTAAGGAACCTAGGGACTGAGCATTTATAACTAGGGACTACATGTTCTCAAGTGCAAGCTGAAACATCCATGTTTTCAAATCCCTGCAAATGGAGGGCAATGTGGTGGCTTGTCTAATCTACCTGGGGAGGAAGTTTCAAAGTCAGGGGCCACCACCAAAAAGGCCTTCTCCCTCATCCCCACCACCATGCTTGTGAGGGTGGTGGGAGTGAGAGGAGGGCCTCCCCAGTGGATCTTAGAGCCCACGCTGGTTCATAGGGGGAGATGCGGTCCCAAAGATAGGCAGGACCTAAACCATTTAAGGCTTTATAGTTCATAACCTGCACTTTGAATCGAGACCAGAAACTTATCGTCAGCCAGTGGAGCTGCTTTAATAGGAGCATCGTGCGATCCCTATAATTAGTTCCAGTTAGAAGTCTGGCTGCTGACGTTTGTACCAATTGCAATTTCCGGGCCATCTTCAAAGCCCCATATAGAGTGCATTACAGTAGTCCAATCTGAAACTAAGGCATGCACCACCATGGCCAAGTCAGGCTTCTTGAGGAATGGCATCCAATGATCTATTTATTTATTTATTTATTTATTTACAGCTTTTATAT